CTATGTATGTGCAACAATATTGCATGGAAATTACAAGTGAAATGGTTCAATTTGTCAAACAATTAGTTTCTCCTGTTAATATTGCTGGATCGTATGAAAAGTTCTTTGTTTCGAAAAAAAGCTTATTGAAAAATAATTTCGATATGTTCATGGTATAGAAAAGTTGTTGAAGATCCAATTAAAATTTCAACACCTTATGGTGGACGTTTTGTTTGGTTATTACCAGGAAAAAATCGTTTCATTGTTCACATGAAAGATAAAAAAAATTTAATTCGATATAAAAAAAACGTTGAAGTCGAGTTCGTTATATTTAAAAAAGACTTTTTTTTTTCTTAAGGTTATTTTATATGTATTATTTATTATCATTTAAATTATTACGTTGAAAACAATATAGACAAAATTGAACATAGCGTATAACAAGATTAGATACAAAATTTATCGGTTTTAGTCAATTGTTAAGATCTTCTTTATTAGGAGATTAAAAAAATTCCTCTAAAGAAAAATATATTTATAATGAAGAATTTATTTCGAGTTTTTTGAGTAACAAAATTCATTTGTTTTAGCACTTGATGGTGATGTTGATTTCAAACTTGAAGGTGTTCTTTTATTAGTTGATCGAATGCGTAAAAATCGTAAAGTAGCTGCTGTTTTTGGTCGAATTCATCCGACTGGCGATGGTATTTTCCTATTAATTTTATTGAAAAACAAAGAAACCTTATTTAGGATCAATTGTTTGATATTAACAATTTGGATATGCTGCTGGTTATTGGCTTCGAAAAGCTGCTGAACATAAATTAGGTAGTATAGTTTATTGTTCAGGTTGTTTTTACTATTTCGTGCTTCATCATTTATGGATGAATGATAATGTTATGCGACGTTATGCAAATAAATCAACAGAAACAACACATTATGTACAATATGATCAAGGTAATATCTTATGTATTTAAGTAATTAGTGAATTTATTTTAATTACGTAGGTAAAAATCGTTGGTTAAAAACACTTCTAATTCAACAAGGTTATCGAGTTGAATATTGTGCTGCATCATACGCTTATATACATGCACAAGAAATATTTAAAGAATTTTTTACTCAACGTTGTCGTTGAATGCCATCAACAATAGCTAATATTATGGATTTACTTAAAGATATTAAACATAGAAGACATGTTAATGAAATTATTTCAATAAATAATATATATATGTTTTATCAAGCTGTTTTATTTGTTTCAACAATGTTACGATCAAGAACAATTTTATTAAGAATTGCTTCAACATTACGCATTGTTTTTTCAATATTAACTATAGTAGAATCATATACAATATCAATATTACCAGCACTTTTTTTTCTATTCTTATATATCTTCAAACAAAAACAGATACATAAATTACAATTAATGCTTTTATGACTGGTTAAATAGAATTTTGTTTTTTATATAAATTTTATCTATATTTATGCATTAGTTATGTCAATGGTAGTTGTAGCAACAGCTTCTCAAATTCTTAAATCTGGTTTTTTAGATCCAATTGCTGTTTTTTTTTACCAAGTGTTGCAGCTACATTTACTGTTACTGGTTTTCTACATTCAAATGAAATGTTTAATTTACTTCATGATTTTCTTTATCTTGTTAAAATTCGTAGTGGTTATATTCTTGTTACTTATGCTTTATGTAATTTACAGTGTTGTTTCATGGGATAGAAGAGAAACAGTTGAAGTTGTTAATAAGAAAAAACTAACTAAACCAAATGAAAAAGAAATAATTAAACCAGGTAAAGAAAATTTTTTTAAAAATAAAAGTTTTATTGTTTTTTTTCCTCGTCGAATATTTTAAATCGAAAAAAATGTCGAACAACAAATGTTCTTAATAATATGTTTTGAGGTGATGGACAACAACGTAGTTTTCTTCATCAAATTGGTTATGTTATTGAACATGTTTTTCGACCAACAGCTAAAACAAGAAATTATTACTAAATTTGATCGAGAAAATACAAATCAACAAATAAAAAAAAAATAACCGGTATGAATCTAAGATATATTATATTTTTTCATTTTTTATGCTTAATGCTATTTGGATTATTTTACAATTTCAATGTGAATATATTGAAACAAAATTTACTGAATTAATGATTGATATTGATAGACCATTTGGTAGACATGATACGAAACTAAAATTATTAGCTTTATTATTTATGTTAGTTTTTGCATCATGT